TGCATACATCCCAAATCATTGCTGTTACTACACATCCCCAGAAAAGGTTCCCAAAGCATCATAGAGCTTCTCATGGTCTTCATGAGTTGAGTTGAGCTGAGAAATCAATCACTCCTCTGTTGCTCCAAAAGAAATGCAGCAAGGATAGATTTGCTAGGTTTCCTCTATGGCTGCAGGATGCTGCTTCTTCAGAGGACTGACAGACTAAGCAAAGGATGTCTGTATCAGTGCAATTTTTTTTTTTAATTTAAAAAGCAAGCCTGATGCTGAATTTAATTTGGAAACTTTTTATGGGCTATAATTTTGCACACAGACTTGTATCACATCTGAAACTCGGGTTTCTCTTAACAAAAGGCCTTAAAATTTTAGATTTTGCCTGAGGATAAGACTAGACACTCTTAGATTAGAAGCTCTAATAGTTTATTCTGATTGATAATTCTTATTATATTGGCCGCCTTTGCTAAGTATTGACTTGATTTTAACAACAAATTGAAAATGCTAAGTTGATATAAGGTCACCTTTATATACAATACTAATCTAATGTTACTTTGAAAATATTTATTTATTTATATTTAAAATTTGTCACCGCCCATCTGCAAGCAGCTCTTAGTTATTAAATTTATTTATGTATTGTTTATTATTAATAATTATTAATAAAATAAATTTATTAAATTTATTAAATAAATTCTTATTTAGCTTTATATGGCTTGGGAATCTCTTTTTTCTATTTCTTTTTTGCTCTTTCCTTTCATCTTTCCTTCTTCTTGGTTGTGTTTCAGATAAAATTAGAGAGAGAAAGGGAGAGATCTGCAGGGCAGGTGGTTCCCCATAGGAGAAGGCTTCTGTCTGGTTGCAACTCCTGGCATTTTGCTCTCCCAAGGAGCAAAGTCACACTGACGCTTTGTCAATGGAATCATTTTGCAAATAGGCCAGAATTATGGAAATTCGTATCTCAGAACCTCAGTGCCACATCACAACTTTACTACAGCTTATGCAAGACTGAGGCACAATTAAATCACAAGTCATATATTTTGTATGTAATGTTGACTGTAGCCAAAATATCTGAAAAGTCACAGATGACTTCTGATACTTATCATTACTCAATATTATTGTAGCAAAAAAAAAAAGTGATTTAAAACTTATAAAAATGAATGGAATAATATATTATCTGCTTTACTGTCTAACTTCTCTTAACTGATTACCCTCTGTGAATAGAAAAGTTTCTAAATGAACAATTCAATAAATTGTTATAAACTGAATAATTCACCCAAAACTGAATATTTAAATATTCATCTTTTTATTAGAAACAATTATTTTTATCTATTTATACAATTGTCTGCATGCTGTCTCATCTGATGATTATTCATATTTTTAACCTGTCCTTGATTTATTGTTCATCTTTGTTTCATTTCTATATGAGATTTGTGCCTCAGTTTAAACTAATCATTTCTAGCCCATATTAAACAATATTCTAACATGAGGGAAGGAGCAAGAAATAAGCTTTTAATCAGACATACATTAGCACAGTTCTTAATTTTAGTATGAAATGAGTGTATCAATTACAATAAATTATTATACAGGACATAATCAAATATTTATGTTTGACTAGCAGCTGTCTTTATATGCTTCTTGAAAATACAGCAAATTGGTATCATAAATTATATTTTTACAGACTGTGTAATGAGCTGATGATTCTGTCACTATAACACACAGCACTTACACTTTTTGGTCTTTGAAGCACAAAGAACCTTTGACAACCAGACTGAGCTATGCAACTTACAATTTATCTTTTATCAGGGCAGAGTGGAGTCTTTAAAGCGCGCTCTCATCACTTTTTTAATCCTACTGCAAGTGTTCTTGTCTGACATTTTAAGCAATTTCAAATCCCAGTTTGGGAGACCACGACTCAATTTTTTCCCATTTTACATCACAATCCTACATAGACACTGACTCAGAAGTAAGTTCCATTGCATTTTAAAGGTCTTGTTCCCATGTAAGTGCACATTGGACTGCTCCAATCTCACTCTCCCATATTTTTCTCCTTTCCCATTTAAGTGGTGGACTCAGAGACATTGGCTTCTTTGCCACCACGCACAGTATTCACCTGATCAGTTCCAGTACCTACCGTTAGCTCCAGAGATGAGAAGATAACTATGAGAAAAGTCCACATGGCTAGCGCTTGTTTCTTCCTTTCACTTCTCAGACACAGATCACAAGTTGCCTCCATGGGCTCCTGGGTGTCCTTCAGCAATTCTTGCTCCTTTCACTCACTTCTCCCTCTCCTGGATTTCTTGGCTGTCTGCATCTTGCCCGTGCTGTTATAGCTGTCCCTGAATACCAGCAGGATGCCTACACATCCCATCACAGGCACCCTGTGCAGGGTTTGTGCAGTCGAGGTATTTTTACCTCTCTCTTCCATTACTCACTGTTATCACCTCATGTCAAGAGGAAAGATCAATCCTTTGTGTTCCCATGGATAAGGGAACAGGACTGGTTTTGGGACAACACAAAAACAAAGATAAATCTGTCACTGAAGCAAAGATAAATCTGCCAAGAAATGAAAAACAACAGAAATTGTTCCAGAGCCTGGAAGGAATAGGGTGGCCACACAGACCAATTTCTAGCAGGAGAAGAGCTGCTTCCCCTGGGGTGATTCAGCGAGGCTGACACACTCTGCTAGTGTTTGCCCAGCACGAGCTGCATGCCCGAGGAGCACAGATACTCCCCGAGAATCTTTGACAGACAAAAATGTATGCTCCATCCCTGCCGAACCCAGTCACAGGATGGCTGTTGGATGGGGTAGGCACTCTGCCTCCTTGGGCAGAAAACAACATCAGTACAAAGTCATCTATCCTGATATAACAATATGATTCCCTAAACAAAAGGGAAAGATAGGATATAAATCTGATAGAGGGACAGCTAGAAACTTCTTAATAACTATAGGCTATATTGATGTAGGTAGGTAGGTAGGTAGGTAGGTAGGTAGATAGATAGATAGATAGATAGATAGATAGATAGATAGATAGATAGATAGATAGATAGATAGATAGATAGATTTTTAAAAAAATATTTATATTTCAAATTTGTCACAACCCATCTCACTGCAGGACAATTCTGGGTAGTTAACTAGATAAACTAGATATTATGGTAACTTCAAGTTCTGGTACAAGTGAATTTTCAGAAACAGAATGTTTCAGAAAAGGAAAGGAAAGGAAATGAGACAAGAATGCATATTGTTCCATTTCTGTTTAACTCACACAACAAATGCATTGTAGGCATAGTGAGAGGGGAAAAGACGACAGCTAGAATGAAAGTTGGAAAGTTTCAAAACATACTTTGAGGTACACAGATGATGCCACTTTAGGCGAAAGTAGAGAGGACTTGGAAGAGCTTATTACAGAAGAGAAGGTGGTGGAGAGTTTTCTTTTGTTGGGCTCAAGACAGATAAAAATGGACAGTGTGCTGGACAAAAGAAGTGTGCTGGACAAGAAAAATCCTTGAGAAGAAAGTAGTGGCAATCTTTAGGTAAGATCATAAAGGATATTTCAATAACAACAAAGATCAAAATAGTTAAAGCAATAGTTTTCCCACTGTTAATGTATGGTTATGAAAGCTGGACACTGAAAAAGAGTAAAAGAAAGAAGATAGATGCCTTCAAAACCTGGAGCTGGAGATGGTTACTAATTACCATGAACTGCAAGATTAACTACTCAGTCAGTCATAGGTGATGATAAGCAAGCAGATATTCACATATGTTGCCTAGATGATGGACTAAAAATGATTATGTTTAGGATGGCTGAGTGTAGGAGAAGGGGAAGCCAATAGTAACATGGATAGATTCAATGAGACAGATTACTGGAAAGTACTTGGAAGAGCTACAAGTTATTATTGGAGATAAATTGGGACAGCAAGCATTTCTCTATGGAGTGATCAGGAATCACCATGAAACCAGTAGAACACCATGAAATCACCCAAATCAATGGTGCCTAACTAACTAAACTGTACTGCATTTGGTTCACCTTGGTTCTTCCTAAATAAGGATGTGCAAAATTTACACCCTGATTTATTTTTTGAAATTATAATGTATTGGGCTATAAAAAAAAATTACACATCAGCCCCAGTCTCTTACCAATACACAAGATTCACATATTGCACAAAGCTATGGGTTGCATGATCCACTGAATAAATCATAATTGGCTAAGTTCACACATTGCAAGTATGATTTATAAACTACAATGATTGGATTCACACATCATGCTAATCCAAAACTAAATAAACCAGATTAAGGATTAGCCCAAGGTGCAAAACTAATTATTCTTCAATATGAAGATGATTAATCCATTCCTTTGCATCTCTTAATGGTGAATTTATTTTTTAATTTATTTCATTTCATTTCTAACCCACCAAATCAAGGCTTTAGGTTTACAATAGTATAAAGCAAACAAGAATAAAAAGAAAAAAGAAAAAAAATCTACCAGGGGTATCATTAGTTAAAATGGTTAAAATTTAAAAATGCCAATAAAAACATCAGATCCCAAATGTGGGACAAAAATGTATAATCTTCATTGCTTCAGGAGCCATCTGAACCTCAGGCGGCAAGCTGTTTCATGGGACCAGGCTAAGCATAGAAATGGTCTGCCAGCCCCAGATTTCGTGAGGGGCAGGAATGCAAAGCATCCCTTCCTGATTTGACTGCAAGGGTGAGTAGATTTTACTTGAAGCAGAAAGTCTTGAAGGTAACCTAGACCTCAGCCATGTAGGGCCATCCGCCCAAATTACCAGCCCCCTGAGTGGAAGCTAGAAACAAGCAGGCAGCCAATGAAGCACCAGGAACACCGGTGTAATTCTGCAAAATGGCCCTCACCTGTCAACAGTCACACTGCCACATTCTGCATTAACTGGAGTCATCTTCAAAGGTAGCCCCACACAGAGCACGTTGCAGTAATGTAGGGTGGAGGTAATAAGGGCAGGAGTTACTGTTGCCAGAGCCCTCTGCTCCAGACATGGTCCCAACTGCTGGCCAGATGAAGCTGGACAAAGTCTTCCCTGCCATAAGCTCCACCTGTTAAAAAAGCAGAAGCTTCAGGGGGAGCAAGGCCCATGTTTAGAGCCAAAACTGAAACTAACAGGGAGCCAGGACGGACAAACAGCAGCTCCGTTTTGCCGTGATTCAGTCAGTCATATTTTGTATAATTCATTTTCTTTTCATTGCAAGAATTGCTGCCTAAGTAGCTCAATTTAATCTATTAAACTATTGTATTGTCGAAGGCTTTCACGGCCGGAATACAATGGCTGGTG